GGGTGGCGCTTTTGTTGCCAGCCGCAGCCAAAACCAGAACAACAACCAAACCATACCAATGTAAAGTAGTCCTACCTTAAGATCATTATATAATTTTTAGGGCTAGAAAATTATTCTCAAAATACTTGATCAAGAGCAGAAAGAGAGATGTAATGATTTTTGTTGTTTTTCAAAGTTTTCATCTATAGAAATAGATGCCTTTCTGAGCACAAGTGAAGGAATGTTGTTGCCCTTTCTTCTCTCTTCTAATCATAGAATCATAGAATCATAGAAAGTTTTGGGTTGGAAGGGACCTCTAGAGGTCATCTAGTCCAACCCCCCTGCAGCGAGCAGGGACACCACTAACTAGATCAGGTTGCGCAGAGCCCTGTCCAACCTGGTCTTGAATGTTTCCAGGGATGGGACCTCCACCACCTCTCTGGGCAACCCGTTCCAGTGTTTCACAACCCTCATTGTAAAGAATTTCTTCCTTATATCTAGCCTAAACCTACCCTGTTTTAGTTTAAAACCGTTACCCCTCGTCCTGTCACTGCTGTCTCTACTAAAAAGATTGTCCCCGTCTTTCCTATAGGCTCCCTTTAAGTACTGAAAGGCTGCAATCAGGTCTCCCTGCAGCCTTCTCTTCTCCAGGCTGAACAAGCCTTAAGCACTTCCCACTTCACTTCTGCTCTGCCAGCTCATATGAAATTTTGGAGATGAATAAAAAGAAGCAAACAGCAAGAAAATAAAGAAAAATGAAAAGACGGGGGAGGAGATAAACAGTGATGGAAAATAAAGGAATCAAAGGCACGAAACAAAGATGTATCCCAATGTATATCAGGGTCACATGAGACCCTATCAATAAATACCACTGAAGTCAAAGGTGTTCTGTAGAGTATATCAGTGCAGACAGAGTGGAAAGTACCTTGTCCTGCCCTTTCTTAGCATACTATTTCAGCAAGATCTGTATCTGTTCAATGCACTTTTACTATGTCAGAAGATACCATACAGTATTTTCATGCCTTAGCCAAGGTTTATAAAGCTTGGTACTAAGCAGAAATTAGATACGTAAAACACAGGTATTATAAATTCCCTGAGCTGCATAATGCTAAAAGCAGAGAGAATGTTTTCTTAAACTTTTCCCCATAGCTCTGCTAGTGACCAGTGTCAGGGAAAAGATACTGTTCTGACTCCCTGTGGCCATCCTCATGTATAATAAAGCATTGCTTGTACTTTAAAAATGAAGAGAAATATCACTGAGGTTTAAATGTTACAAGGAAATCTTCCCTACAACATTGGTTATATGTATTTGTTTAATTGCGCATGAAATACAAATCCTTACATGTTGTGCTTTCACGGAAGATGAATTATTGAACAACATAAATTATGCATAGTACAAATCCTGAAGTAGAGCTTGCACTCTGAGAAACGCTCCATCAGTTTTAATTGTGGCTTGTTTCAGGGATGGAATCTGATCAAAGTGCGTTTCAGGCTGGATCAAGCAGCACAGAAACTTAAGTGCTGGCTTATCTTGAAAGGGGTAAATGCTAGGTTAGACATCATCTGAAGGTCATGCAGATAGACTACAATTTTTAGATATATAGCAAAAATTAATTCATCTAATTCATTACAGTTTTGACCTGAATTAATGTTAATTAACTCTTGTTAATCCAAATAAACTAAAGTAGAAACCTGTTGACCAGTCTGTTCTGCTTTTGTTTTTTCTGTTTTTAGAGCTCTGAGACATTGCTTCTGATTCATTCATATTAAAACATGAAATAACAACAAGGTTTATGGTTGGTTTGTTCCTAATACTTAAAAATCAGGTTGTCTCTATGCAATTTTAAATGTGACTAGCAGTATAGCATCTATGCAACCTATGCAAAATGACATAGTAAATTTGAGCATCTGCCTGGATGTATTTAAGCAACATAAGTAATTTTCTGAACTAAAACCTCTTCATGGTTCTCTATATCTGGGTCTATTTATAAGTCAAGGAAATCTAATTTAATTACGATGTTGTTTTAGTCCTTATGGAAGAACTTTGTACTTATAATTCATACATTCTTACTTGCAAGTGTAATATGTCAGATCAAAGTCCACCAGAGTAAGCACACAGTGTGAAATAATGAAGATGAAATTTTGCTTCCTTTTAGATAGCGTGTTGCAGCTGATTTATTCACCTGGACTTAAGTAGCAGGCCAAGTACAACTGTAGAGAATGAGCTCATCCATCTGTGTGTGTTTTTCTTTGCCAGGCTTCACTTGAAAGAGGTAAGGTGCCTGTCTTGTGCTGTTTTTCTCAGTTGCTTTCTTAATAATTTATAATACCAAGTTCTATTCTGGAATTAAGTGGATCTGTAAATCATTTCAGTGTGTAAATATGAGAGAAGAAAAAAGACTGACTCACTCAAAAATGCTAAAAGAGAAATAAAACAGCTAAAAAAATAATTCCAGATCCAAGTACAGATTTCCTGAAGTTTAGTGATGCTTGTGGGTTAGGTTTTGATTTTAAGTCATTTATAATATAATAATTAATAAAAGCAAGAATAATAGAAGCTTTCAGAAAAAAAGATATCTGACAGTGTAAATGCAGGCATAGCAGAACTTAAATGCTTTAAGGGAAACCATGTGCTGAATTTCATGGAAGGTAATTTTCCAGTTTATGATGATCCAAATGTTAAATGACCAGATTTGCACAAAACAGCAAATTGCATGTTAATAGTAAATCAAAATTACTACTGAATAGTTTTAGGCAGAGTAGAAGATTCTGGTGTGTTGGTTTCCTGTATGATAGGTATAAAAATTAACTCTCAAACATGAACTTTATTACAATGATTTATCTGAGATATTTTTTTAAAAAATGTGCTGAATATTTTTTCACTCTGGAAAACTGTGTGCTGAATCTGCTGCTAAGCCATTAGATTTTTAAGGAATGTGGCTCTGTTGCAACATAAACCACTGTGGGGAAGGATACTGGCCTCTGTAGACTCTGTGCTGATGCTGGCAGGAAATAAGCTCTGACTGAAGATCTGCTTGCTACATCTGTTTTCTGCCTTCGTCAAAGCCACTGTGGGGAGCTCAGTGCTTAATAAAAATAAGTAAAAATTAAAAGAATTTGGCTAGAGTCGAAGTAAATGTGTCCTTTGAGAGTATGGGAAACATTTGTTACCCTAATTCAGTCTAAGCTGTCGTTGATATAGAAATTCCTCTTCAGTCAAGCTGAGATTTGCTGAAGTGAGGACCCCAGGATTTAGTCCAGTAATAGCCTAAGCCTTACTGCTATGTTGGGTGGAGGGTTACTAGATGTGTAACCCCAACAGGAGGACAAAATGAGGCTCAAAACTCTTTTGATTCAATATATTGATCCCTTGTGGGTTTTGAAGAGACAGAAGAAAAGTTCTCTTTGCTTTGTTTATTGAGCTTTTATTAAAAAAAAAAAAATCTGATTTAAGCCTGTGACCAATTATTTAAAGCTGTAGATGAAAGTTCATAAAAAGCATAGTCCAGATGTGCTGAAGTGAGTTTTCCACTGCATGGAAATATTCTCAGCACTCGGAAAGCCATGTTTGAGTACTGTTTGAACTACAGAGAGTCAGCAAAGCCAGTGTTCCTGTTTCTGCCAGTTCAG